TCTTATTTTTCATCGATGCAAACGACTGTATTACACCTCACCAATACAATTTATATATTGTTAGTGATCATGTCTTTTTTTTTTTTTTTTTTTTTATGTAAGTGAACGAATAATAATGAATAGAAACTTTTTAAATAAAAATAATTAACATTGTATGTTAGAGGCATTACACAATTTCATCTGCGTATGAGGCATAATTTAATTTCATTTATTAACTTTAAACAAACACAGTTTTTGTCAATCTGATTTTTTTTAAAGACTAAACGGATAACATCAAATAATATCACTCAACACAATTTTAATATTACATTGTAACAATTAATTGCATTTTACTTCTCGAAAAACCGGTTAAAAAATTATCCGGTCAATTTTAAAAAATCACACAATGAATTTCAATGGCTTTAATGTTCACCATTTTTTCAAGATAAAACCATCTGAAAGAATTAAAAGATTTATTTTTCAATTAAGATTTTTTTTTTAATTTATAAAAAGTATGTTGACAAATGAAAGTAGATGATTATTACGTAACTCAATAATAAGGATGCGTTCCATAAATATGCAACTATATGTTAAAAATTTTTCAAAAAAGCCTCACATGTTCCAAGACGACCTTATGTATTGCTTTAGCACTATGAGTAAAAATTTATGCTAAGAACTGTAGTCACTCAGAAAAACTTACAACAGTCACTAACGACTTGGATATTTTATTCTTGACTTTTTGTTTCAACTTTATGTAAAATGAAAAATTGTTTCAGGTATCAAATGTACATAACGAAACGAATTGCCTGGGCAAGCATATTGACTGTGTGGCTGCTCGCCATACTCATATCTTTCCTACCCATTAGTCTTGGACTGCACAGGCCAAATGAACCACCGGTGGTTCGAGCTGTCGGTGATAAGGTAAGGAATGCTTACAACCCAATAATTTTTACGTATAGAAACATAAAATTATAACACACTTAAATTGTAAGGGGCGAAATTCGGCACAAATACAAGTCATGTAATGCCCGGAAAACAGCACCGAGAGTATAACTCATTCGTTGAATTACGTTATTACTTTTATTAATTTGCAGTTATATTCATTTATTTCTATTCTTTCCAAATTTTTCAAAAATTTGCAAAAATGCTCGTTTTACCTTCTTAAATTACAGTTAATCATCCATTTATCTATTAATACCAACTGAAAAATAAGATTCGCATCTCCAAAGTGATTGTTAACAACGGACGTTTTTTCTTCACGTGCATTATTATTTTTTTCTCTTGAAATAGACTTAAAAAAAAAAAAAAAGATCTAAAAATACAAAAAAAAACTTTTTTCTCTAGATTACACCATAATTTTACTTGAGTGTAATCTAAATGTCATCTAAATCATCTCACTCATGATCATGCACTAGACTTTATTTGTTTTACTTATTATTTTTTTTATACTTGGGCTGGGTGGCATTTACTTCTTTGTACTACAAAACTTATGCAGTTTGTATTTACTTTATTCAAGGATTATCAAGTTAAAATATTCAGCATTAGTTTTTTCGCAACTTTCCAACTCCAGTAGAATTTGAAAAAAAAAAAAAAAAAAAAATTTTTTATACGTGAAAAGTACATTAAAATATGTGTTGCACTCCAGAAAATAGATAAATTTTTTTTGCAGTAAAAACAGTTTTTTTTTCCAACTCCACCGGATTCGAAGAATATTAAAAAACCACCAACTATTTTTGACATGGTAATTCCATAAGAAACTTGAGTTACCATGCGATATTGGAAAAAAATATCCAAATAATTTACAATTTGTATTGTGGTACAGAGAAGTGANAATTTTATTTATTTAATATTTATCAACATTGCGTTACAAAAAATTGTGTGTGCAAATATTAGCAACTCGTACATTATTTTTAAAGTCTCACGTGCTGATTGAAACGTCGATGTAAAACTAATGATACAAATTGTATCGTAAATCAGTTTGAAAACCTTCACAGGTGTTGATGACCATTTTTATGATAAAACCGCTATAAAAATAACTAAAAATTGTCAATTTGTTATTTTTTAACAAAGGTCGGCAAACGCGTACACAAGAATCAACTCATCTATCTTTTCAATGGTTATTTTTTTTAAATGCTACTTACAACTTTGCAAACATCTAATTTTCTTAAAATTTTCCCACACACTGCAGTTAACTAATATTTAACAATTGAACCAAATAAACATAATTGTTTTATTGCCTCAAGTGACTTTTTGTTTTATAAACACAAAGTAATTTAGTTTCACATCTGTTGTAATTTCCACCAATCACACTCAACTCGTTCTTAAAAATTTACTAATTGAAAAAAAAGAAAAAAAGAAGAAAAAAAAAATTCACACCCTCCAACCATTTTCCTACTTACAATCAAGGTACAGCTTCTTCTTATTATACCCAGGGACAATTGAAAAAGATAAATCCTCCATCCACATCCTGCAACTTGGCGAAAACTAAAATTCACTTGTTCCCAGATCCTGACCTGGTTGGGCTACAGCAACTCGACCTTCAACCCCATCATCTACAGCATATTCAACACGGAGTTCCGCGAGGCGTTCAAGCGCATATTGACGAGGGGCGCCCTCGGCCGCTACAACCAACCGTCGACGAGCGAGTGCGGCGAATTTCGCTCGGTCATAGTGGCCAAGCGCAACGGCTCGATCGAGTGCAACATAAGCCCCCGCTCGAGCGCCGACAGTCAAACGGGCTCGATGATACCCGGCCAGCCGCACCGGCACCGCGACACCATCGTCAGCGCCATATAATCCGGGAACTTTGGGACACCGATTTTTTACATCATCCTTTTATTCGTCGATCGACTGTGCAATACTTTATAGTGGGTGATACGAAGACCGGCGAGGAACATTACATGTCCCCGAGACAATCAATTTATCGATACTATACATATAATAATAATATTTACACGGAGACATATCTCACACTCCCTCTACTCTCTCTCTCTCTCTGTGTGTGCGTGCGTGCGTGGGATAATGTTTATCGGGGTGATGAGCAACGGATTCGTCGTTGAGCGCCTGGTGCGTTTTATCTTTCGTTACACGAGATTTCGGAGGCTGCATGTAGTTGGTGTAAATAATAGTTGTATGTTTGTAGGTATGCGCATACATGGGGTACAGTTGAGAATGAAACTTTTTTTTTTTTTTTTTTTTTTTTTTGGAGATACAAGTAATTGTTAACTTGATTGCCACGAGTTTTTACATCTCAGTTCTGGTATGATTATCATCTGTAATAAAATGTGGGTACTTGCAGCCGAAATTCATTGATAAAATTTGCTCAAGAGTTAACTCATTTTACCAACTTTAGTAAATTTATTTTTATTTATATGGATACAAAAAAAAAATTCTAGTTGAAAAAAATAATTGTTAAAATCTTTCAAGTTCCTTTTTTTCAGATTATTTTATTTTTATCAATATATATTTTTTGGATCAATTTTCAGTACATTCCATTTGAGTACGATTTTTTTGCTTAAACAACTCGTGTATTATACAACAAAAATGACCTTACCGAATTATAGAATTTGATTTTAAGTTGGGAGCTTTGCCTTTTATATTTCAATAAAACTTGTCAAGATAAAACGTCTGAAAAAAAAAGTTATGACAATTTCTTTTTCTTAACATTCAATACAGAAGCTCATAGAAAATTACCTATTTTCATAATTGTAGCAAATTAGATCAAAAACTTTAATTTTTTCATGTCACGGGTACTCAGGCCATTTTCAAGTCCTTAAAATATTTTTTACGTATTGTGTTTATTTATCTGGCATTTTTTTGCAAATCTCAACTGTATTTTACTTTTAGCTCATATTAATAAGTTGATAAAACTTTAGTTGGATAAAAATTCCATAAAATATTATTTTAAGAAAACTACCCTTTTCTCATATGTCCCTTGTAGGATCACTAAAAAAGCTTGTACATCAATAATACCAAATGAATTAGTGCAGTAATAACATCAACAATAATAATTTAAAAAAAAAAAAATAAATAAATAATAATAATAATAATATTCGTGTCAACTAGTCGTATCCAACGTGCGCCCTGGACCTTACGCCCACCTACGCAATAGTCTCGTCGTGCATATCGTTCTACGTGCCGTGTATCGTCATGATCAGCATCTACTGCAGGCTCTACTGTTACGCGCAAAAGCACGTAAAGAGCATCAAAGCGACGACGAAATTGTCGGAGCCGTCGTCGCTGACGAGGAGCTTCCGTTCGAAGAGCAAGCGACAGAAGCAGCCGAAGCCGCAGACAAAGGCCAAGCCGACCAGTCCGTACCACGTGTCGGACCACAAGGCGGCCATAACCGTGGGGGTCATCATGGGGGTCTTCCTCATATGTTGGGTGCCCTTCTTCTGCGTCAACATCGTCGCCGCCTTCTGCAAGACGTGCATACCCGATCTTGCTTTTCAGGTATTTTTTTTTTTTTTTTTTTACTTTTTT